TCATTAAGTACGGCTAGCCTCTTCCATTACAAAGTTCTATCTGGGGGCTCTCGTGGTCAAGAGGCTATGGTGTTTGTCAATAGGTCCCGGGTTCGAATCCGCACAGCGAATTTCTCTAAAATTATCTTTTTTCACTCCCCTTCCCGCTCTCTAACCATGTTCTGCCGTCTACTTTCGTTTCCACTTTCTGTCCCCTCCCCTTGGCTCCTTCTGCAGCCTTTCTACTTAACTGACACTCTTCGGGTCCTTCCCACTGCTGTCTTTCATCCACACCCCTGATCTTATGGTAGGTAAGATCAGCTAGCCTCGGGTCACGGTAAAAAAACAAACTCGTCCCGTGTGCAACTTGCGCACGATCAAAGATCCATTGACGGTCCTAAAATCAATATGAGTAGGCTTCGGCCGCCACCCGGGCAAAATTCAAAATTTCCTACCCATTGAAAAATAAATGTGCTCCGCGCGCTCACATGACCCTTATGCAGTTTCGAGCGTCATGAAACACTTACAAAAAGTTATATCTGGGCATTTTTTGGTCGTTTTGAGTTACTGAGACCATGCAATAGGGTCAGAAATCAAATGTACTATAAGCCCTGTCAAAATCGTTAGGTACTGATGCTTTATCAAGATATTCAAATTGCATTTAAAAGAATAGATGTTAAACTGAAATTTTGGCGTCAATTTACTCAGAATTACTTGGTATTGATCAGATAGAACCTTGTAATCCTAAATGTAGTGACATTTCAAATGGTTGCGCATAGATTTTATAAGTGGGGACAATATTCGCTCATGTAGCCTCTCTTCACCGTCAAGTGAAGTCACAACTCGCAGCCGTCCGTATTTATTATAACAGGTGGTATTTTTTCTTAGGCCTCGGGCCTCGTTTTTCTTAAGTGGGCGCAAGGTGGACACCACCCGATCTTTTGTCCACCACTTGCCCTCGTTTACATGGACACCACCCGATCTTTTGTCCACCACTTGCCCTCGTTTACAAGGGGGGTTTACCGTCGACCATACTGAAAACACGTATCTGCTTTGTGTAGCGATAGACTAACACGTAAGAGTATTAGCAAGGGCAAGGAGGGGGTGGGAAGTGGGAAAAAAATGCGGGAAGATGTAAGATGTAATAGACCCAAGGCTAATGCTAGATCTATCAATAAACATCTTCACGAAAACAAAATGGCCCTTTTCACGTTTTTGGTTACTTGTTTTGTAATCTCGCTAAAGCAGGATTCTATTTCACGTGCTAAATTATTCAGTATTTTGTTTTCATTATGTTCT